CTAAATTCACACAATCTGTTTCCCCAAACTTTTTGATTCACAATGGTTGATTTTTCTAACAACTAAAGACTGAAAGTAATCAACAGCTGAAAATTAACTAAACTTGATGCGTAAACAATTGGAATAAGGTCTAAGGCAATGGTTTCCCCCATTGGTAATTTCCTTGGTTGTATATGTCTTATAACTATGATTTAGTTGTCTCTATCAATCATGAACGCTCCAGCTATCATAAATCTTTCTCAAGCAATTATGATAATTTACTAGACATACTCTCTCAAGCTACGCTAGCTAGATTCTCAATATGGTTCACTTAGATTGCACCCGAGGTATCGTAATCTCTAATCCAACCTCTAAACCCTCGGTATGACTCTCGTCTATACTCCGAGAGTGATGTTGTTCATACAATCACCTAAATATGCACTCTCTCTCAAGTAGATACATAATAAATAGGAACGGATAATTGAGGGCCCTTTCAACTAACCACAATCAAAACATAGATGAACAAATAGAGATTAACAACCAAATCCAACTATATTAATAAAACAACCAAGTCATCCCCAACGGGTTCCACCAAAACCTTAGATTAAGGTATTTAGCTACTCATAACAATGGAGGAATAAACTACTAGAAGATTCATAATCAAAGATTGCAAGAAAAATAAAAGAGAATAAGAATAATGATGTTTTGGGTGATCTCTCACACTTGTTTCTCTTCCCAAAGTACTCTCTAAAACAAATCTGACCTAATGTGGCCGAATTCCTACTTTTTATAAGGGTTTTACACCAAGTTTTCCCGACTTGACACTTTCGTCCCTGGCTTTTTCGCGTTCTGCCGCAATCCTACCGCGGTTACGCTAGGACCGCAGCCAAAGAGGTCCTCTGAATCTGCAGCTCTGCTCTGCCGCGGTCCTACCGCGGTTACGGTCTGACCACGGCAGGCCAAGTTCAGCTCTGCTTTTGTCTCTTTACTTGGTGCATTTCGTGGGCATTGTTTGATTGGCCTCCTTTTCTCCGTAATTGATCCCAAACTTGCTCCATCGACTTCTTTCGTTGGATATAGCCTGCAAAGCATGAAAAACACTAATCAGAGCATTTGGTTATCACTTTTTACTACAAAGCTATACAAAAATGTGGTTCTTTAGGGTCTAATTATAGTCTAATTCACCTATTATCAGACACCATAAAACCGAGAAACTTGCCTGAGCCGACCCCGAATGCGCACTTTTCTAGCTTGAGCTTCATATTGTACTTCCTCAGTATATCAAAGGTTTCCTGCAAATTCTTTAAATGGTCCTCTGCTCGCAGGGAATTAACTAGCATGTCATCAATATAAACTTCCATAGATTTCCCTATTTGTTCTTCGAACATTCGATTTACTAGGCGTTGATAAGTTGCACCAGCATTTTTTAGTCCGAATGGCATTACGTTATAACAATAGGTGTCGTATCTAGTGATGAACGAAGTCTTTTCCTGATCTTCTGGGTTCATCTATATTTGATTGTACCCGGAGTAGGCATCGAGAAAACTGAAAATCTCATGGCCGGCGGTGGTGTCGATAATGCGATCGATATTCGACAAAGGAAAAGAATCCTTAGGGCAGGCCTTATTCAAGTCGCTATAGTCTACGCACATTCTAAGTTTATTTCCTTCTTAGGGACCACCACTGCGTACGCTAACCATTAGGGATATTTTACTTCCCGAATGGACCCTATTTTGAGTAGTTTATTACCTGTAAGCAAAGCAATTCATATTATCTGTAAGGAAATGAATAAGTTTTTTCCTGAGCTCAGGGGTTAGCCCCGTGCCCAGGTATACCTTTCGTTCTGGTTGATGTTCGGTCAGTGTGATTTGTTCCAGCTCTTCAACCGTTGATTTGGTGGCATTGGAGTCGTCAGGAACAACGAAAGATCGAGGTATCCCATAGTCGTTGTCTTCTCGGTCTCCCGCTTCTCGGGTTGGGTCGAGGTTGGTGTCTGTGGTTGCTATTTAGCCTCTTGCTTTCCCTTTGAGTCTGATCCTTTGTTGAAGAAAGTGTTGACACCGGTATTACTTCGTCAATTGCAAACATCTCATTGGCAGCATGTTGTTCCCTGTACACTATTTTGAATCCTTCTGATGTTGGGAACTTCAGAACTTGATGAAGGGTCAAGGGTATCGCCCTCATGTTATGGATCCAAGTCCTTCCGAGCTGGGCGTTGTACCTCATGTCGCCCTTGATTACATGGAACTTTGTTTCTTGGATGGTCCCAGCCACGTTCACCGGCAAAACAATCTCACCTTTGGTGGTTTCGCTCGCCATGTTGAAACCGTTAAGCACTGGGGCTGCGGGCACAATTTGATCTTGTAGGCCAAGCTGTTCCACGACCCTTGATCGAATAATGTTAGTCAAGCTACCTGGATTGACCAAAACATGTTTAACTTGAATTTTATTCATAAGGACAGATATTACTAGAGCATCGTTATGAGGTTGTTCGATCCCTTCCGCATCCTCTTCGTTGAAAGACAAGGTCCCTTTTAGTAAGTAGTCTCGCGTTCGTTTTTCCCTTGTGATCGTCACCTTGGTGCGGTTAAATATCGGTCCTTGAGGAATATCGACCCCTCCAATGATCATGTGAATCGTGTGTTGTGGCTCTTCCTACTCGTTTTGTCTGTTCGAATCCCTATTTTTGAAGTGGTTCTTGGCCCGATCACTTAAGAATTCTCGAAGGTGCCCCTCCTTGAACAATCGGTCTACTTCCTCCCTTAGCTGGCTGCAATATTCTCTTTTATGGCCATGGGTACCATGATACTTGCATATTTGGTTTGGATTTCTCTAGGCCGGATCAGTCTGCAGAGGTCGAGTCCACCTAGTATCTTTGGTACGTCCAATAGCTGACACTATGGCGGAAGCATCTACATTGAAGTTATATTCCGATAATAGAGGTGCTTCTTTGGATCCGATATCCCTATCGAAACCACTCTTGCTCATGAGCCCTCGGGAGATCTGTCCCCGATCATTCCTTCTATCATTCTGAACGGGTTGCAAACATAGCCATTATTTCTCCGATCTCCACCGTATGGCTAATATCGTCTCTATTCAATTGTGATTCCCGGTCAAAATCCTTTTAACTCTTTCCACGGACCTTTTAGGATAGACCGACCCGGTTGGATCCCCTAGTTGATCATCCTCGACCCTGATCTTCGACAAACATCCTCGGGGGGAAAGGTTTTTGGACAAACTTTTTGGAATCAAGTCCTTTCAACACCGGTGGTGCCCCCGAGATTTGGTCAACCCTTGAATTATAAGTTTCCACTTTCTTATCGTTTTCCTCGATCTTCTTTTCCCTATCTCGATCCGCTTCGTCAGTTCCTCGAGCATCTTTACGATAGCAGGACTGGTCTCCGGTTCTCCTCCATTCGACCTCTTTGGCACCGACTCGGCTCTATGAACAATTTCTTGCGATGGCTCGATCTCGATTCTGCTTGGTACACGATTCTGATTTTGGAGATGTGCTATTGCAGCTTGTTGGGTCTACAACATTTCGAATATCATTCGAAGGCTAATACCACCTTCTTCACCGTCCTGTGCGTTCTGATCTGTTGTTCGAGCACCTCTACGTATGTATTTTCAAGGTCGACGCCCAAATTCCTATTAATGGCAATATGGGAGTTGACGTCGATTGGGTCCATGGCTGGAGCACCCATCGGGGTTGACTGGAGGCACTCCATTCCCTGGGGCGGCTATGTTATCATTCTCGCCATGGAGACCGAGACCATTGTCCGTGCGTGTAGGTGCTACTTGAGCGTTTGACATGTTTATCCTGGAATCAAAGGCACTTCAAAGAACAAGTGTAAAATAGTGCGTGTTACGAAAATTGTACCAGGCAATCACTATTATCCTTAGCCCCACGGCGGACGCCAAACTGTTTATCCTTAAAATCGGATAACAATTAAATTCCTAAGTTATTTTAAGCATATGTGATTTCACTTGGTACAAACTGATAAATATAAGAATTAATGATAGAAATTACAATAAAAGTAAAGCAAACAAATGTGATGAACAATTATGGCCTTCGAGCAGATTACCCTCGGACCAACTAAACAAGCTATTGAAAGTGAGAACTGAACAACAGAGCTCGCAAGAGATAAAAATGTGATATATTGCTTTGGTATACGTGAATCTAAGATGATTACAATTGGTTAAGACCCTCTTTATATAGTAGAGGAATCCTATTTACGGTATAATTCTAATTACAGAAAGAAATCTCATGATTAGCTAAACAATCGCCCTTGATTTGATTTGTTCCTAGATTTTCGCCATTATCCTTGACCAGTCACGGATATCTCGCCTTTCCGTTATTGTGCTATCTTCGGTCTTGCTCGATGTCTATCCCGTTCGATCTCGATCATTACTGGTCTCGATCTCGACAGGTACCTCGAACCTCGAACTCAGTACCTTATCCTCGTATCTTGGGCTGATATGCTATGGGACTGATCCTCTATCCATCCCTCTAGTCTTGGTTAATCAGTAAAATCGGGTGGGCCCGGTTTTAACCGTATACAATTTGATATGTATTTTATTTTATACAACCTTAAAAATCTGTCAATAGCTTAAATTTCAATGTGAAAAATTTTTGCATGGCAGTAGTCTCCGTAATCAGAGGCGGAGCTAGGATTTGAACCTTATGGGGTCGGGATTATAATCCTTTTAAGTTATTGAGTTCTAAATTAATAATTAATTTGTGAATATTCATTGGATTTCTTAATAAAAAAAAATAGAGTTTGAATGGAAGCTACTGGGCTTGATCGAATCCATAACCAACACTGTGGCTCCGCCCTGCCTCTATTGCAGACAGAGGTGGATCTAGAGGGTTAGTTATGGGTTCACGTAAAAATATATATATAGAGAGAGAGATTAAGATTAAGAAATCTTTTATATTTTTGTAAATATTTAACTGTGATGAGTTATAATTTCTTTGCTAAGTGATAAAGAAATTGAATGTTACTACACTTGTAATGAAGTTCCGTTGAGTTTTAAGAAGCTGTGTATATTGATTAATCGGGAAGCTATTACAGAAAATAGGAAATGCTTTCATACATCAAAGGGTGTCGAAAGAAAGAACAATTGGAATAGAAGAAATGTTCCAACTTTCAAACTCTAGCAATCTCAACAGATTTCTGAAGAGCACCTAAAAGACTTCTCATGATTCTTGGCTCCCCTGGAGGCGCCTTATCTCTCGACGGTCCATTTCTTATGGCTCGAAATATTGGAGGTGAGTTATCCGTCGCAGGGAAAACCATACAATCTATATATACAAGAACTTCAGTTTGTGCATCTTCAACTGTAATAAAACCAAGTCTGGCTCCGCGAGGAATTTTGTCAACCTGTACACAAAACATAGATGCTATGAGCCAAACAAATTAAACTTATGGAATTTTCGTTTAACTTTACAGCCTACCGAGAGGGGCTGATCTAGAGGCCGTCAGGCTATGGGTTCAGCCGCACCCCAATAACTTTGACCTAGAACCCGAACTCATAAAGTTCAAATCCTGAAACTGCCTCTACCTAGTAAGCTTAACAATTAGGAAGAGTTACCTTTAGAGGCACTGGAAGTGGCAGCATAGCTCCTTGACAAAGACTGTTAGCCCACTGTAAAGTCACAAAACAAAGCATCCTTAACATTAACATAAAGGAGGAGGTATTTGTGTCTCCTTTTATTGATACTTACTAGTAGAAAATGTCATTCTCTTGAAACCCTTTGAATGTCTTTGGATTAGACAGAGTGAATGTGTTAATTGACACAAGTTATCTATATTCTGAGTTCAAAATGTTGAGGTTAAATACCCTTTAGATAATAACATTTTTCATATTGATCCCTCCACCCTTAACCAAACGTCTGTGGTTCGACTTTGGAAACCTAGCAGGGAGCGTTTCCCCTTAATGGACCTACGTGGCGTGAATTTAGATTAATCGAGCCAGTAGATTCCAGATAACATATGGTTACACTAAAAAAAAAGTACATATCCACTAACAGTTATCATTGAGGTTTTCTATATATAAACTATAAATACAACAAATCACTTATCTTAATCTGTCTATGTTTCTAAAGATAAGGGTCACTTTGGGATTCAAGATCTAGCATCCTCTGCTTACCACTTCTACTTAAATGGATTAAAAATACTTACTGCACTCAGAGGACTTCGTAAACAAATAAAAGTAAAAATCACATCAGATTTTGGTAGAAGGTAACTATCTTAGAAACAAATTCACAATCAGAAAGTACCTGAAAAAGTAGAGTTTCAAATCTTGCAACATCAATATCCAGAGGCAATTTCATGGTTCCCAAAGATACACCATCTTCATCATCTTGATTCATAGGTGAAATTCTTCCATCCCCAGCAGCTGCCTTTACCACAACACTCAAATTCTTGTAACCTGAAAACTCACTGATGTTAAAGAATCTATTACTGTTGTTGGTCTTGTTGGTTAGGAACACAGGAATAGACCTGTAAGGACAAATTTGCACTTGGGAATTACCACTTGTTATGTGGAAAAGTTGTCTGGTTGTTAAGGAAGACATGGCTACTTACTTGCCTTCCCTTCTGTGTACTGTTAGAAGTGGTTATTTTGTGACCATGATGATGAGATAGGATAAGGGATTTTGCAAATCAGTGGTGGATGGTTAACTCGGCAGCCTGGTGTACTAAGCTCGCCAAAATTTCAAAGGTATAGTCAGTTTTCGGACTGGTCAATAAAAAATAGCCAGCGTTTACCAAGTCAATGAAAAATAGTCACCGTTTTGCTGCAATAGAGACCAGTCCAGCATAATATACTGGAGTTCGGTGCACTTGTGTATGAACTCCAGCATATTGTGCTAGACTGGTATACTTTGCTGGCTCCAGTATAATATACTGGAGACTGAAGCACTGGTGCTCCAAACTCCAGTATATTATACTGGACCATTATACTTGCTGGAACTCCAGTATATTATGCTGGAGTTCAAGTATACTTATGTTGGAACTCCAGCATAATATACTGGAGTATTCTCCGAGTTTTGAATAGTGCTTTCGCTCAGATTTATCTTTACATAAAAAGTGGCTAAATTTCGATAAATTGGGCTATTTTTGAACGACCAGTTGTAAATCTGGCTATTTTTAAAAATAACCCACCAAGCTCTCGATATGCGCGGGTTCCAAGGAAGAGCCTGACCACAAGAGTCTATTATATGCAGTTTTACCCTGTATTTTTGCAAGAGAATGTTTCCACGGCTATTAGTCCAAAAATAATACATAAAAATATTAATTTCTCTAGCGCAAGATATTGTATATATTTTTTATTGACATATAAATCGCTTACCGCACAGTCTATAACAATGGTAGTGTCATAAAATATGTATTGGAGTTTAAATTCTTTGATTGTGTATCAATTTTTCACATTATCTGATTGATTTAAGTTAACCTACAATAATATGTAAGCAAGTCATTTTGCTAACCTGAATAATAGAGCAATAATTTGCTATAATCATTCTAATTGCGATTTGAAAAATATCACGCGATGAATTTATATAACTTAAATCCTTCATTATTTCCCTACTCTAAAGCAAATAATTCATGTTATCATTATCATAATTGTAGCATCTCTTTCCTACTTGAGGAAGCTAATTAATCTCCCTAAAATAAGCTTTCCAGTTTGATATGTCGTAGAGAAATCCAAATTGGAATCATAATTACACACGTTATGAAAATGATTTACCAGAAATGTGTTTACTGTGGAATTGTTGCAAACTCTAGATTCAAGCAGAGCTCACTCAGAAAATCCAAATATAGGAAACTGGAAACTGGGATTAAAAGGAGGAAGAATAAAATTATGGAGTAAACAGGTTTATTCAGCATTTGGAACTTCGCCTATCAAATGAAACCGAATTAATTTCAAGCTATTCTCAATTTTTTTTTCTTTGCTGCTGTACAAGTTACACAAGTATCTAACTAAAATTCATACAACCACCAAACTGCAGCAACAACACCAATTTTCAGAGATCTTTCTGCAAACCCAATGCAACAATTTCCATTTATGCCCTCATGTTGAGAGCAGATTGTGCTGATGTTTGTCGTCATTTTGTTGTGAAACTATTATGAAGAGCAAGCTTCGAGCTTGGGAAGAAGACTTCGCCAGCCGTCTGCTATGCCATTTGCTAACCATGCCTGTCCCTTAGCAAATTCATGGAAAGCAAGTCCCATATCCAATGTCTTCTGTTCTTGAAATCGGATGATCTCTTCGTTCATAAGCCTCACTATCGTATCAAATCTTCTTGATGCTTCTTCCCCTTCAGCCTTGAGCTGTATTGCACAGAAAGACAATGTCAGTCATCACACATGGAGTTTCACGACTAGCCAGCCGTAAAAAAGAGTAAGCTAAACCACACTGACCATTTCATACTCGTGCTCAGCCTCAGACAACTTATCAGATCGTGTCAGCCTGTATTTATTTCTGCAATAAAAGGTAGAGCCATGTTTTGCTTCAGCACAGAGACTCTGAGATGCGCCATATAATGACCAATGAAGATTATTAATGGGATGCATATTTCCCCATCTTAGATAAAGTAACACATACATGTTTCGTCTCTTCAGTTTGCAGATGAACAGGATAGCAAAAACGCAAAAAGAAGTCAGTGTTTACAATGGCATATTTCTCTACCTAGGAGATGCATATTCTATATGCAAGAAGAAGGATGCCAGATATTTTAAAGGCAAAATGAGGATGCTAAATTAAATGAAATTGCATAAGTAACCCGTTCGCTCTTCAGTGAATCAAATTCTTTAAGTAATTTCACTTTTCACTAAATCAAATGGTTAGCGTTTTTCTGTTACATTAGACGACTTGGACTGTACACATATATAGTGTCGATGTGCTCTTGGTACCATTAATCTAGAGCCAAATAGTTACAGTTCGACACCTGAGACTAAAAGGCCTTCGGTTAAAGTCTCGTCTATATTTTGGGTTGTACACATTATATACTTCTAATCGTCCTAATATTGTGTAACAGTATATACCATTGGCGGAGTAAAAGTACCTTTATGGCTATTGTTCACAAAAGGAGAGAGGGTAAGGTTGACAGGAGGGGGAGCAATAAGAGAGACCCACGTAAAAGTAAAATATCAAGGGACCAAAATTATGACTAACAAACCCCAGTCACAAGGTTGAGCTCAGATGTAGGTGAAATCAGCAACTAAGCTTCACCTATATACAACAAGCAGGACACTGATAAAATAATCAAATGCACTAAATTCCGATACTACATCTTTTGAAAGATCTAGCTGCCGGTGAAAAACCATTGCAACTTCTCCAGTAGAACAAGACCTAGACCGTATTTTGCAGCAACATCAAACCATGTGTCATACTAAGCATGCCTGGATAATAATAGCAGATTAGACCATAAGAGCGGCAAAACAGCACGAAGCCTTGTTTTATCATCAGATTTAAGATATCATTCAGAACATGAGCAGTAGTTAATATTTGATATTCAGTCAATAGTGAACCTAGAGATCCAGGCTCAAGCACAGAAGATAATCTTGTTGGTGGGGAGAGTTAATCATGTACATATTTAATCCTTCCCATGCCCCCAGAATGTAGAAGGCTCATAGACCAGGTCATTTTATAAATGAGAAATCATTGAAGGACTTGCAACAATCAAACGGAGCTATCACCAAAGGCAAATTAAGGTCAGATTCAGGAAACCACCAAAAGAAACGAAAAAGGAGGAACAGCAGTATAGTTGATTGAGCCATACAAATCTATTTCCTTAAACTTGATTGTCTCAGCCAGCTCACACTGCTGTTTGAATGCATTTGCTCTTTCTGCTATCGTAGCCTGTTTCAAAGTTAGGAAGGATATGAGTGTAGGGCAGCAACAGAACATTATATTACTCTTAGCAGAAGAAAAAGGTGAAAGCATAAATACAGATGCAACAGTTGTATTTCTTCATGAATGTAGTATTGTCAAATGTGCTTTGGTCGAGCTTGAGTCCTAAAGCAAGGACCAAGGCAGGATTGGCACAATGCTTTGAGTCGTGCTTGAGTCCTGAAGCGAAGCTCAATGCAGGCTTGGTGCTTCGCCTCATTTCAGTACTGCCATAGGGAAGGCGCTAAAGCATGCGCAATTTAGCAAGCACCAACCAACTAGTTTTAAATTATGTAAATTTATAAGATCCATGAGCTCTGTATTGAAAGGCGGTATTAAACAATAAATATAGTTGGCAAAAACGATATATTATTGTAACCCAAACATTTCATACGGATATATTAATGACTAATAACAGAAAAGAAAATTTTCATATTAGAAATTAATCTAAGATCTTTAGCAGAAACTTATAATTGCATTTTTGGTGATGAATTAGAAAATTAAGAAGGCTTCTGAATGTGATTGATATGGTTTTACTTAATACTATCCACATGATAGCAATTATTGCAATTTATTTACCCTTATATCTATTTGTGTTTATTGAGATGGATGTCCGGGAATACCAGGATAAATAAAAGGGAAAAGAGTAAAAAATATCCCTCTACTATGCGAAAAGAATCACTTATGCCCTCCGTTATACTTTCGGTCCACCATTGCCCCTGCCGTTACAAAACTGGTGCAAGAATACCCTTCCTCCGTTTGGATCCTCCACCATGGCCACATGGCCTGACATTTTGCCGAGGTGGATGCCAAGGTGCCACCTCGCTGCCCCCAGCCCAATTTTATCCCCATCATCCCACTTCTTCTTCCATCACCACTTCTCCCTTCACTCAACCACCGCAATCATCACCTCTAGATGCATATAAGCTGAGCCTAATGGCGTATTCTAATTCAAGTGTCGATTCTGTTGCCATCACCATTGAGACCATTTATCTTGGCATAAAGGCTTGATCTTTTTTCTCCTTTCCTTTCTTTATACCGTGTCTCTGTCTTGTATGTGTACTGGTAAATAAAGTAAAAATGGGTTGCCTTAGTATGTGACTAACTGACTAATTTAAATTTCTAAAGAATGGGTGATGCACTGTTTTCTTTTTGAACTATTTCTGGGCATTGATAATACATTGTGGGTTTACATGTGTAATTATCCATTTTTTGTGCAAAGACAACTTTTTTCGGAGTTGCTTAATATGGATCATTGGATTGTAGATCCGTCTATAAATTTTATTTTCTGTCTGTCAAGTAAATTTTTTTTAACAAGAAGATTGACGTTTGAATTTACCGCCAGAGGTGGCGATTTTCTAAGGCTCAATAAACACATCAGTTCTTTTTTTCATTTTCTTTTTCCTTTTTTTTCCCTATTTGGTTAGACTCTGAGGGCTGAATAGTTCGTGTTGGGGTGAAGGATGTGAATAATCGAATTCCTCAAGTAAAAACTTTTAGAGCTATTGTCATTTCTTTGGTTACAGAAGAGCGCAAAAAAGTTGGACTTTGAATGGTGTTTCATCTTCTTCTTTTTATTGATAAGGTAAATTGTATTAACCAAAAGGGAGAGAACTCCCGTATATAGGAAGTATACCAAAAAGTAGAGAATTTACATCAAAACATGATTCTCTACAAAAGACGCCCAATCTTCTATATAAGTAGGGGCTATATGAGTGCACCAAAAAGCGATCAAAGATAAAAGACTATTCTTAAGATGTGAAAAAGGAGACTCGAT